AATTTTTGATAACTTTGATGATGAGTCTTGTGAAATTTAGATAAGAAAATACGTGGAAAAAATATGAATATATAAGATTTGATTTAAAATTAAATTGGATTAGTTTTAATTCATTTTTGGCAGTTTGAATTTTGTTTTTCAATTATATTGTAATTATTCAATATGACAATATTATATTTTAACTTTTAAGATAAAATCTAATTTTTTTTTTGCATTTGATTAATAAGGATATCAGTTTTTGAATAACTTTCAATTAATTTTCATCAAAAATTAGTTAACGTATAATGATTTACAAAAATGATTGATATACAAGATTGACATGCTCTTATAATTTCAGGCAAGTTTTAGTTATTTCCGATCTCATTCGAAATATAATTTGAAGAATTTATATCCATCTAAATTATTTAATTGTAATCTGAAAAGTTTTTAGTTAACTTTCTTTCATATTAGAGTTAATAAAGCTTAGTCCATTCTGATAGTCTTATACTTCACTATCTTATTTATTATTCGTTTTGTTTAATAAAAATCATTATTCATCACTCAATAACTTAAAACAGAGTTTTGAAATCAACAGACTTATAAAGGTAAATCCTATTAGATGTTATTTTTTAAATTACTTTTATAATAACATGTATTAAAGTATTATGTTTCTAAATAAATATTATCAAATTAGAAGTAAATACTATTACTAAATTTAAAACTTTATAAAATAAGTAATTAAATTAAATTAGGTTTATAATTTCAATTAACTTAAATTGAAGTAACATATTATACAGTTATTATTTTTGTCTAGTGCTGGTGATGTTCAAATACGAGATCAAATTTCAAAGACTGTAATAATTAATGCATGTTACGCTAAGCTTATAAATATAATTATTTAAACAATATATAAAAATAGTTTGCTATAAAATATGAATAGTAGTGTAATTTTTTTGTAATCATAAACTAATTCTAAAATGATATCTTATTTATGAAAATATATTATATATATTTATTAATTTCATTATTCAGTTTAATGTATATAATTGTAATATCATTAATTTAAACATTTGCACTCAGGATGCTGTTAAGAAAATCCGATCATACATTGATTTGGCTTCAGAGTATTTTATCCAACCATTCTGCTTCAAAATTCTTTACACATTGCTCTACATTACAAGGTAAAGTTATTATTGTACTTTTACAAAACAATCAACAACAATTATATCTTAATAATTCAATATAACTTACAATTTTATAAATTTCTTATTTCCAATTCTATAACATTATTAAAAGCATTGTTCTGTCTCTCCACATTCATTATGACAACCTTATTCTTAAGATACACAACCAAAAACTTCTTACATACATTCAGTCTAATCTTATGGGCACTGTTAATAAGCACTGGCTTTATCAAAGGCTGAAATTATTGGAATTAAAGCTAACAAAATAAATAACCCTTATTTCATTGATACGTTGAATATTACGTAATTAGTTTATTAATAGTAATATTTTTTAATAATAGAATTAATGATGACTTCATTACCATTTTTGAATATATTTTAATTTGAAACTTCTCTTGAAATTGATTTTCAACAAATTAAAGTTAAAAATTTGGTAAAAATTTTAGATTAATTATTTTATTATATTGTTTTGATGATTCTTTTGTAAACTTAATAAGCTGAATAACAATATTNTAAATTAATTTTTATCAAAAATTAGTTAAAGGATAATAATTAGGAAAAATGATTTATGTACAAGATTGATATGTTTTATTATACTATAAGGCAAGTTTTGGTGAATTTCCCTCTCATTCAAAATATAATTTGATGAATTTATATCCATCTAAATTCTTTAATTTTAGTTTTAAAAGTATTTAGTTAACTTTCTTTCATATAAAAGTAAATAAATCATAGTCCATTTTGAGGGGGTCTTATACTTTACTATCTTATTTATTATTTGTTTTGTTCAATAAAAATCATTATTCATAACTTGATAACTTAAAACAGATTTTGAAATCAATAGACTTATAAAGGTAAACCCTGTTAGATGCAGAATTTATATAGATAATTATTAAATAGCTTTTATATAATAAAATTGGAAGTAAATACTATTACTAAATTTAAACTTTATCAAATAAGTAATTAAATTAAATAATTTTTATGATTTCAATTAACTTAAATCGACGTAAAATATTCTACAGTTAGTATTTTTGTTTAGTGTTGATGATGTTTCAAATACGGAATCTAATTTAAAAAACTGCAATAATTAATGCATGTTAAAATATGATTAGTGGTGTAATTTTTTTGGAATTATCATTCTAATTCAAAAATGATATCTTACTCCTGAATATAGATTATATTTATTTATTAATTTCTTTATTCAGTTTAATATATATGTAAAACTTCTATGAAATGTAAAATATAATATATTACAATTCTTAACATCAAATAAATCTGAATTGATCACTATTATTACAAAAATAATATCATTAATTTAAACATTTGCACTCCGGATGCTGTTAAGAAAATCCGATCATACATTCAAAAGACTTCAGATTATTTTTTTCCAAACATTCTGCTTCAAAATTATTTACACATTGCTCTACATTACAAGGTAAAGCTATTATTGTACTTTTACAAAACAATTGCCAACAATTATATCTAAATAATTCACTATTACTTACAATTTTATAAATTTCTTATTTCCAATTCTATATACACATTATTAAAAGCATGGTTCTGTCTCTCCACATTCATTATGACAAACTTATTCTTAAGAAGCACAACCAAAGACTTCTTACATACATTCAGTATAATCTTATGGACACTGTTAATAAGCACAGGCTTCATCAAAGGCTGAAATTATTGGATTTAAAGCTAGCAAAATAAATAACCCTTATTTCATTGATAATAATGAATATAATTATTAAGAAACTTAGAATCTACTCAATTTATAAAGTTCATATTACGTTGAATATTACGTAATTTGTTTATTAATAGTTATATTTTTTAATAATAGAATTAATGATGACTTCATTACCATTATTGAAAATATATTCATTTGAAACTTCTCTTGCATTTTATTATCAACAAATTAAAGTGAAAAATTTGGTGAAAATTTTAGATTCATTAATTATTTTATTATATTGTTTTTATTATTCTTTTGTAAAATTAATAAGCTGAATTACAATATTATATGTTTGTTAGTTATTTTTTAATTAGATGAAGTTAATAATCAAATTTATCATCATTAAAGTATAAATAAGTGCAATGTAAAAATTAATTAATTAATGTTAAATTAATAATATCAAGTTTACAATTCAATATCAAAGTTTTTTTCAAATCAGTATATAAAATTAAAAAAAGATTTGAATTATTTATTTTAACTAGCTGATACATAAGAAATTTGGAAATACTTATTTTAACATTTTTAATAATATATAGATATAAAAACAATATAAGTCATTTGTAAAATATTAAAAATGTAGAAATTATTATATTGATAAATATAATTCAACAATAACATTAAAACTAAAAATAAAAGGTTAATGAAGTCCATTATAGTGAAAAATAAAATAAATTATCAATTATCAATTTAAATCCAAACATATTTTTAAATTAATGTTTATTATATTATAGGAATTTATAATTTTGAAAAGAAAAGGAAAGAAATATTTTGGTTCAATCCTAAAGGCTTTTAATGATTTTTGTCTTATGATTTGGATAAGCAAGGTTGGAGTGATAAATATGCTTCGTTATAGCATAAACATAATTATGTAACATTTTATTGAAAATTTAGAAATAATGGGAGATTTACTGGATAGTGATATCTACTGATAATGGACTTTATCAATTAAAGCTGCAGACCCACTGAAATAACAAGGAAGTCAAATATAAAATTAATTTATTGTGAAAAATGTCACCATTTTTATGGAATTGATCTTCGGATTTTAAATGATTTGGAGGGAAGCAGAAGGAGAACTTATTATGTCTATTTTCTAGATTTAGTTGTTTTTTAAATCTGAAAAAAACAAAAAAGTTTGATTATAGAATTTATAAGATTAACAGAATTAAGAGCATAGTGAAAATCTTGTTTCTTAATTTAGCTTAAATTATCGAATTTCACAATCATATCATTTAAATTTAATATGAAATAATATTTATAATCTTTTTATTTTCTTAAAACGAATATTAAGTTATCATTTACAATTCCAGAAAGAAGTATGTTCTGAAATGAATTCCTAATAATTAAAATGAAGATATGGTAAGAATGGATATTCAATTATTAAAAACCTGAAGTTTTGAGAGTTTATTATAAATAATAAAATAAAATGCAAAATTTTGAGTAATCACAAGAGAAAAAATAAGATATTCAATAATCACAATAAGGATAAATAGTGACTACTGTTCAATCTGATGATTCAAAAAACTTTGAGAAATTCTAAAATTCTGAAGATATTACTTAAAAGAAGTAGCCTGATAGATTTGATAAATATGATAGAGTATAATTTTCTTTAATGTGCACTGGCCTTAACGGTATTGATTTTCAATAGTGGGCTGATAAAGAAAAGAGACAACTTGTTTTATAACAAGTGATAATTTATGAAATGTGATCATCTATATTCAAACTGAAAATTGATATCAATAATAAACAGTTTCATATATATATCTAAAAAACTTATATCAATAATGAAGTAATTCCTAGTGTGAAAGATATTATTTATGCAAATTTATTTTCTATTTTGTCTTCAATTTTTTTGATTTTTTATTTTTCATAAAAAGGCGAATCTTAATATTATTATCCAAAATCTTGTATTAATCAACTTCATCAGAAACTTTAAGAAGTCAAGTGAATTTTTTTTAATTAAAAAATGAATTCTTTATATTCTTCTACTTAAAATAATAATATTAAAATCGACAAATATTCATAAATCTCAAGATTTTTATGATGCAAATATAAATCATTTTTAGAATGACTAAATTTATAATTCATTTCAAGATATTATGGAAAGGCATCTTAAAATAATTAATAATTAGAATGGCTAAAGTTTTATTGTTTCTATAGGATAGATCAAATTATATTCTAAGTTTCTTTCTAAGAATTAAAATAAAAAGTCACCTGCCTTTAGCATTTACATTTACCTTGATGAATATTGAAAATATCTTTTTAAACTATAACGGATGGAACCTAGTTATCAATAAAAAGAAAAGTGACATCATATATATAACTTAAGAAAAGCACTTTTAAGGAATCCCAAAGCTCTATTAATTCAAAAATCTGGGAGTTAAAATCATTAATAAAGGAAATATCAGGAAGGATTAAAAAATAAATTTCATAAACCTAAAATTACTTTAGATTTCCTCTAAAATGAATTTCGATCAAAGACTAATTCTCTTTTAGTCATACATTGAGCCAATTTTTATTATGCAGTTGCGAAACTTGCTTGAATGTCTGAGAATCTTAATCTGCGTTTTCTTGGGCTTTATGTCAATAAAACTAATAAAGGATTACATGTAAACATATTAATAGAAATTCATTTATCACTTATAATGGATGAATTGTTACTTAGATGAGAATAAAATAAATTTAAAATTCCTTAAAAATTAAAATAGAAAAATTATTAGAAAATTAAAAAAGAACTAGTTAAACCATTATAAAGCAGTCTTTGAGCCAAGAAAATCCATACTAATTTGGTTTGAATGTAATTTTGTATCTTCAATTTGGGCCATAATAATAATAATTCGTTTTTGAATTGTTTCCTACTAATTGAAACATTGCCTAATCTCTCAGTGACAATTATTATTATAGGTCCATCCATTTCCTTAATTTAAATTAATTGAGTGATATCACGATCAAAATTATTGAAACTTATTTTGATATAATCCTTAAATCTACTAATTAAGGATCTAGACATTTTCCTACTACTAGAAGCTGAAGTTAAACTAAAGAAGACTAGTTAGACTTGATAGGAGCAATTTTATCCCAGTCTTTGCCTACCTTCGTTATATTTCTCTTTGGTACTCGATTGTTTAAATCTTTTACAGAGATTTGATATGAATTTACAGGATTAATTAATAGTAGTTTTAACATTTTTAACACTTGTTAGAGGGAATACATTAGAATGGATTTAGATTAAATTTTTCCCATTTAATCATTATCTTCCTAGGATTTTAGAATTTTCTTTTGATAAAAATTTCCAAACAGAACTCTTGTTTATCAAAATTAAAATTCCTTAATATTTTGTTGTAAACGTCTGCGCTAATAGCCTAAAATTAGGTTATGGCACAGAAATGATTATAAGAGGAATTAATTGAAAGTATTCCAAGGAATAATCAGTTTCACTAGGGGAGGGATCTAAGTTAGTTCATTTCGAGCGAACACTTTATCTAATTGTTCTTATTGGAAAAGTTCAGAACCATACCACTAAATTTAACTAATTTTTAGGTTTACCAAGTTTTAATTAATT